TAACAATGGCTCCTATTAATTTAAAAATGAAATATTTATACATAGAATGTAAATAAGTGATTCTGTTGACTTAATATTTTTAAAATACTACTAATAAAAATATATCAATGGAAAGATAATTTTAAGCAGTAAAAGTTATCACTGAGTTTTAGTAAAAACTGCTAACACCTTCAACTAAAATCAAATTAAAAGCTCATAACCAAACGTTAAGACGTTTGTCAATTGTTGAGAACTGTTGAAAGTTTAATCAATCAGGTTGAAGAATAAAAACTACAATAATTTGCAAGTGTAAGTCCAAATGCAATGAAACTTACATCAGTCGAATCCGCTCTGATATTAGCTTTCTGGAGATATTAGTTTTGTCCGATAGAAAATACTTTATACTCTTTTAAGAAGTTTAACGTAAAGAGCTCAAATAAATGCAAAAAGATGTACTATCTCTACTTGTAAGTGAAAACCAATAGAAGAAAATATCACACAATCCCTCTCCAACTAGCTTATATCGTACATTTTAAGATAGCAAATATTTTAAGGGAGCTAAACAATCGCAAATAGGATTTCTTTGAGTTTTGACAGTTTTTAATTTTGCTTTAAGAACAGCCTTATTAACTTAGTTATCCCAGAGCATTTGATATAAACTAAATTTTTATAGCAATCAGTAGTAAGTTCTTTCATAAACTGAATTTTGCTTTTGTTTACAATGTTGTTGACTAGTCATATACCTACGATGTTACGTCTGGCTATGTATAAACCATACATCAAATATTCACTTCAACAAAAATTTATATTAGCTACATAAAGTTAAGATGAAAGATCCTCTAAATCAGAACATAATCAGGCTAGTTAAAACTTTATAAACCATAATTGCATGTTAACATATAGTCCATCAAAGTGCAAGTGTTTCATGCAGAACATGCGGAATTAGACCAGAAATTGTTTCTGTCTAAAAAAGGACACAGTTTTACATTTTGTTGTGATGATACGAGTATATTTAGATAACTGTAAATACATTTTCTTATGTTCCACTCTGTTAACTGGCTTGAAGATATTCGAAACATTTATTCACACATTAAATGATTTTTATACGGTAGCAGCATTGAAAAATCCCTAATCCAAGATAGTAGAATAATTTATATTTTGATTTGTGAGCTGGTTTGAGGATATTTGAAAATCTGTCGAAGTACCGAGTAATTTTTCTTAGAATTTTGAAAATTTGTTGGTTTCAAGAGCTTTAAAGAAATCTTCAGGTACTGAAAATTATACAAAACCATTTTACTTGGAGAAGTAATAGAAGTTGGTATAATCATCATCACGAACAACTAATAAACTTAGACCTAGTACCATCTCTTGGCTGTATTAATCGGACTGAAAATATTATTGATTTTATGGCTTTAGAAACTTTACACTTTATGCATGGTTTCACAAAGAAATTTTGTACATTTATTTATCCCCAATTATAGTCAGCTATTTTAAAATAGGTAGTTTAATGTCGTAATATCTAGTCTCTTATTTACGATCGTAACATGGGCGAACATCACAGATGGGAGCCGAAGCTGTTGTTACCATGGATACGAGAAAGGTCAGAGTCCTTGTTCTAAAATAAACAGTTTAGAGGGTTTTTTTTTTTTTTTTTTAACTTTAACAGATTATAGATTAGATTTTTTTTAACTTCCTTTTTAATGAAATTAGAATAACACATTATAAGAAACAGGCCTTTATTATCTGCAATCCCTTACCATTTCCCTAACAATAGCAAATTTTTGTTTTTAAAAGGAACTGAAGTATAAAACGAATTAGAATCACATATGCATCCCAATTTAAATGCATACTTTTATAAATCATCTGTGTTTATCATGTAAAATGGAAAATATTTCTCTCTTCCAAACGAATCAGATAGATATGTAGAGGCATAAAATAATTCAGATACAATAAAAGCACCAAACCTTTGTGAAAACAAATTGGCCTTGCAAACGGTCAATTTGTCACAACCACACTAGTGTGCAAGACTTAAACAATAAATTCATTTTTAATATACAAGCATGAAATTGTTGAGAAGAGCTTTTTGCGATCAGCACAATGAAAATACAACTCAGTAGAAAGGTGTTGCATATGCAAATATCTACACCATGACGTCAGACGGACGTCAGGGCATGCAAAACACGAGGAGTCAACGCGAGCATTGCAAAGCAACTTAAAAAGAAGAAAGGAAGTCGCATTTCCGAGCATTCTTAAAATATTCCAGGTATTCACGAAAGTGATATGCAAAGGCTTCTTGAAAACATCAAAACTCCCCTACACGTAAAAGAAGCAACAGTCTTGATGAAGGGCGTAGTTTGACATCTGTCGCCAAGAGTTTCGAATTCATAAAAGTGTTTCACGAGCTTCGGATGCCTTCCAGACGATAGGTAGAGCTGTAAGAAAAGCTGATGGTGGTCGGGAAAGAAAAACAACGGGACTGATGACCTATATATCGCCTTGAAGACGAAAATAAATCGAAACTAGGGATCCAGCAATATTTCTCAGCAGTTGCGCATAGCAGTCGGATGACAGGCATCCCGGTTTACTATGGCCCAAAGATTTCATAAAGGCGGCCTAGTCACCCTATTGCAGAGGCGGGCACTTATTTAATAGACAAAAACTGGGCCCTCCATTATTGGGGTAACGTCCTCTTTATCGATGAGCGAAGTCATAATCCCTTAGAAAGGCCCTTTGGTTTATTGTTCTCCCTCTTGTACAGGCAGTTTTGGTACCAATGCTATTCCGTCAAAGACGTCGTTTTCCATTCGTTCCGTACGGTATTTCATCGCGCTGTTTAATTTTTTTTACATCCTTTTATTATCATTTAAGTACTACATTGTGCTTCTCTAGTAGGAATTTCATGTATCCCAGTTGATTTTTTTGCGAAATTAGGCCAAAACCGGAGAAACTGCTTGCGTTTTGCACCCTAATGTATATTGTAATTATATGTAAGACTGTAAATATTCAAAATTCTTCTAATGTTCAATAAATGCCGGTGTTGCGGAGGAGAGGCCTAGTCCTCTCTACTAGTACTTGCTATAGTAAGTGGAGCTCGCGAGGTCTAATGAACCACATAATATACTTGGCGTCCGATCGGGCTTCACGTGACCTCATGGGATGTAGTTTTCTGTGATAGATAGTGCCCCAGCTGGCTAATGCCCACATTGCCAATGGTCAACCAATGTGTCTCCACTGCACTTCAATCTGATTCTGATTAACAACAACATTTTAGGCTTCCCTGCCCCGTGAACTAAATCACACTACAGGTCTACTCCCCCTTTGGGCACGTCGTGGAGGTTCAACCTCCACTATTACCCTCCAGAGGAGCAGCGCACCACCTGGAATTCACCAGCCAGCACCGTTCGTCTAATGCTCCTACCAGTCGCATGGGCGAGCCCGTCGCAGTGGGCCGTTACCCAGCAAACCGGGGGGAACCAAGCCCTCCGGCTACGGTTCCACACCGCTCAGGACATGCCAGTCCCCGAGGCCGGCCAATAAGTGACCTTTCCCAGGGGCTTCAGAACCATCAAGTTCATAAATTTTATCCCCCGTGGCCGAGACTGCCTAGGTACATATCCTAGCCAGTAGCTTCGCAGAGTTCTCTACGTCGACCCCCGGGGGAGTGATTCTGATTAAAGCGTTATTATTCACATCACTCTCTCTTTTATTTCTTGTATTTTCTTCTCTGCACACTAGTACATGAGAAGTGCGTTTTCGGCCTACATTGTTATGTAATTCCGAATCATCTTTGAGTAACTTGCTCATCTCTGAAGTTTGTATACGTTTGAGCTAATCCTCCTGTATGCATACAGTGTCCACAAAATTTATTACGCGACCTTTATTTTAGCAACCGTTGGTCGTAGACATATATTTCTAGACACGAAAATGCAAGTACTCATGTTTTGGTATCTTCGAAAATAAAAAAATCAACTGTAAAATTACGAAATTTATCTTTTTATACCCTCCTCCAATCTTTATACTTAAATTTTGGAAAATATATTTCTCCTTATAAAAAATAAAACAAAAGCGTTTTGTTCCCGTACCACAAAAATTGATTCAAATATTTAATTTCAAAATTTAGAATAATTAAAGACATTTTCAACTTCCTTTTAGATAAATTATAATAATTCGAGGTAGATTTTTTCCACCTTAAATGACATTCAACTGTTTTCTTTTGTAATTTATTAATGCGTAGCATTCTTATTTTTAAGTTCAATACAATTGATTACAAATGCATGTAAGTGCTAGGCTTAAAGAATTTCCACAGAAGGTAATTTAAGTTTCCAAAGCTAATAGTATATTACTTATATCCTAATGAAATTGTATTACTTTAGAATCATTATCTAGTAATAGCACAACAATTCGTTAAACTAGAAATATTTTTCGTTATTCGTTTTCATTACTGAAGCCTATCTCTATTTCCTAGAACACGAATTCTATAAAATTTTCTTGATAATATACTCGTATCTTTCAAATAAAAGAAAAAAATTATAGTGATCAATGCTTTTTAATATAATCTACAAGAAAAACTTATTTAATGTTTTGGTATCATAAACCTTTCCCTTATCTATTTTTTTGCTTTTAGTTACATGCAAGAGCAAGCATTTCGCTTTCATATTGTGTATAGCACTTGAATATGATCTTGAACTTTGAAATGAAATATCTGGGTCAATTTTTATCACTACTCAAATTTTTAGTATATTTTTCATAATGGGCATAAAAGTTTCCTAAACAGAAGTATAGGGATCGGTTGAACATATAAAAATTAAATTTCGTAATATTTCCCAAAACAATTTGTTTTTAATTTTAAAATGCCAAAACATGAATATTGACGCAATTTGAAACATACTGTTTTTGAAAATATATGTCTACGACAAAAGGTTATAAAAATAAAGCCTCGGAAGAACTTTAGTAAACACAGTTTATATAACGTTATATACTTGCATTTATATTCCTTGACTTATCTCAGATTCATTTTTCAGGTATGAAAAATCAGACAGTTTCCGAGTTGATAACGAAGCAAGGTTACCGTATGCCAAAACCTACTGACCCTGAATGTTCTGATGCTGTTTACGAAATAATGTTACTCTGCTGGAGGACAAACCCAGATGAAAGACCAACTTTTGAATTTTTATTTAACTATTTCTCAGATTATTACATTAGTTCTGAAACAAATTACAGAGAACTATGAAAACATAAACGAATGTCTCATGATAATTATATAACCATTATAAAATGCATGGAGAAAAAATAGCTGACATATCGCAGTTGATAATGTTGCAGCAAATGCAAACTGAACTACACTGTAAATAAACCGGCCAAGGATGCTTACAACTATATTTAATGTATGGAATTAATGTTGCACCGAAATTTCTTTCTTTCTCTAATTTTATTCTGTTGTCTATATTTGTACATGCAAATAAGTCTAATTATTTATGTATAACGGTTATTTGTATAATATTAGGCCTGATACCAGCTTAAGGCTGCAGTATTCGGGCGCAAAATCTTAGATTTTACACAGCACAAAAGTAATCATCCTTATAATTCCACATGATCCTTATAATTCCATATGATCTTATTCAAACCCAGATCAAAAACTTTCGGGATCAGTATATGACCTAGGGTAGAACCTAGGGATCAGTTTATTTTGGGCTCCAGGTGAATGAAATATTATAAATTCAAATCGAAGAAAAACCTTTATTCAGCTGCCGCTTGTCAGAATAACCTAATAGACACCTTATGACGGCTGCCTATGTCACTTGTAGCCGATTCTGATCCTATTACCTATCCCTTTATGAAAACAAGAAAAGTTGTTACTGAAGGCTCCTGAAAGTAAATTTGTTGGGGGAACCGATGCCAATATCCCCAAATTTATTGGATCAGATCCTAGTAATAATTATTTAGATAATTATAGCGGAGCGCAAAAGACCGTCTCTCTTCTGGCAGGATACTTCATGACAAAATTTTCATATTGTAAATAGCTTGATTTATAAACAGATAAATAAATAAAAATTTCCTCCGAATTTTTCTTTCAGAATCAACAAAACGGAAATATTATTGATTCAACTATTTCATTTGCTCATTTATAAGCAAGTTGCATTATTATTGATAACATAATGTTAAGAGACAATAACACGCCAAATAAATACTAATTCAGAAGACAAACAACAAAATTCCTGGGGTATTTATAAGATTCCTTGCCAATGTGGTTTAATTTACATTGGCCAAACTAAGAGAGCCTTAAAATTTCGCGTCAAGGAACATGAGGCATATGTTAGAAAAAAGGAAACACAGAAATCTTCTGTTGCGCAACATTGTTGGTCCGAAAATCACACTTTTAAAATTTTCTGCTGCCAAAATTATTCAAAAAACATCTTCCATTGGAGAACTGGATTTTCTAAAGGCATTTCACATTCATAAAAATCTTTCTGTTCTAGTTAACGATCCTAATTCCAATCCAAATTTGCCTTCGGCCTTTAAAGAAATTATGTTTTAGTTCTGGTTTCACCAACAGATGACGCCACTTGCTTATTCTTGTCCAGGCTTTCTTATCTTATCTAATCATTTTTTCCTATCTTGTTCATTTGCGGTTTTGCAGCTGAGGATGGTGGTTCGGTAAAACCATCGAAACTAGTCCTGTGAAAATTTTGTAAATATAAACGCTGATTTTTGTTGTTTGTCTTCTGAATTAACATAATGTTAAATGAATACATGTTTTAGTTTAATAACAGGAGTAGAATTTTGAAAGTTGCATTGTTCGTGGATATCATTAAACTGAATTACGGTTAAACGTCTAATATTCCTGCATACATTAACGAAAATTTCTGGCAATAAGATGGCTTTTTTTCCTGTATCCTATAGAATGACAAAACTAGACTTATAGTAAATGTTAAGTGTATTCTAAATTTCTTATCATACTTTTAATATACCAGCATAATATAGTGATGTCTATCAGAAAATAACCTCTTCTGTCTATTGAATTCAACCTGCCATCTTTTATTTATTGATGGAAATATAGGAATATACGGAAAGGGTTCTGAACAGTGAAGTCTGAGGTGAAAAAACTCATCCGTCTATATTCATTATAAAGTTATTCCCAGTGTCTGCGTTTATACGCTTATGTTGTTTTGACTCATCTAACATCCTGATGCTCGTCCATAATGTAGACATATTATTTTCATCAATGGATAATGAGCATATCAGAAATGTGTTGATACTATATACTGCATCCTAGTATTATTGCCATTTTAAAATTGTATCCCTAGAGACATATTCTCTTAATAATTAGAAGCTGTATAAATCATAAACATTTCTACTGTATTTGCATATGTTCTCATCATTTTCATTTTAAAATATACATGTGGTGTTCACTTCGTTTTCGTATATCACAAGAGGTCAAACTCTCATACCTACAGGTACGTTCATAATCAGACATGTTATCTACCACTTAACGTATGTTTATATGATATATTATCTAGCGATTAACTTATCTTTATATGTTACGTTATCTACCGATTAACTTATCTAATCAATCTAAGAGCCATCACAAGAAATTTGTTTACTTGTTTTCCGAAGTTACAACTTGACATCGCACCTTAATTCTGTATTTCTGTATTTCCAACTACAGAATAAGGCTGATGAATCTTCTATTTTTCTACGCTAAATCTATTACTGTTCCCCCTCGAAAGTAATTATTTCCACTTTTGAATACCACAATGTTAATATTTTATTTAATTCTCTTAGCATTACTACATTTAATTCCTATGATTTAGTTGGAAAGTGACCGCACACATAATTTTATCCCTTGGTAACTAATTTTTAGAACGCATATTCTTCTTTACACATCATGAGTGCAATATGCCCCCCCCCCACATTTTTATATAAATTGTCACTTGGTTAGACAATGGCTGAAGCGGAGAAATAAGCAACGCATGTTAACACAGCGATATGAAGACAGAAAAGTTATTCTCTATCTCAACATATAACTTAAAATGTTGTCGGTTTTTAGCTAAAGCTTGATTTTGATAGGATGGAAGTGGATTATAATTCAATGCTGTTTATTGTGAATTTGGATATTTCAATGGCTGTTATGTCGTGGAGCAAAAACAATTTTACTTCACACCTGACTGCCACTGGCTCCGACATAGCAATGTGAATACTCTACATATAAAATTTTAAAAACAACCATTTTCAGAATTTTGTTTATTTAATAGAATTCTATTCATATATTTGCAAGTTATACACTATAAACACAAATAACAAAATTTGAACTTATCTTATCTGCACCAGCGTGAATAAGCCTGGCATAATATTCTGAACTCGACGCAACTTTAGGAGGAAAATTACCGCAAATTCAAACACAAGGTTTCATCCTTTTCCAACGCAGCTAATTTTCTAAATATATTTTACTAATATCCGCAGCGGGACAGCGGATTCCATTTCATTCACCCAAAACTCAAATGTTTGTTTAACGCAATAGTATCGCAAAAAAAAAAAAAAAAAACATCGACTCAAAATCAAAATATTAAAATCTATAGAATATCATCCGCTGTTGCCATTCCAGCACTGCCAAGTTTTTCTTCCTGCAGCTGTTGCCAGACTTATCCTCGCTGTATGATGAGAGGTACAACATCCTCCCACCCTGATTTTCTCAAAATCAGACATTGCACAAAATTTTCTAACATTACGAATAAAACAAAACAGTACTATGTATTAGTTTAGAAAACACATAAAAGAAACTCGGTTAACATACAATATATATGACAGATCATACTAAAATGAGATCAATAAAGAATAAACTTCTAATTAAAGTCATTGCTAAAGAAAAGAGGATATAAGTCCAAAACGTCTATATTGTACATTATGTTGTCTAAGAGCATGTCCTTGGTTTTAAGAGTCTACCGTATCTAGATCTGTTTTCAGTTGCCAGAGTTAGCACAGGATCACTGGTAGTTGAAACTTCTAGTGGATACAGTTTTTTGATTGGTCTTACCAAATATCCACTGCTTGTTTTTACCTGTACCACTCTGGTAGCCCCATCTCTACTACTGAATATTTTTACAATTTTGCCCATTGGCCACATTACACGTTTTTTATTGTCTAGTTCTATGAGGACTACATCCCCCACCTTTAGGTTTTGACATGAAGCGCTTGCCTTCTGCACTAGTTGAGCCAGATATTCCTTGCGGAAGCGACTTCTCAGTTCTTGTCTCAACGTATTGCAGTAATTTACACGCACATTCAGTTTCTGGGAATCGATGTAATCCAGATCTGGTACCCCCACTTGTTTTATGTCTTGCAAAAACAGGGAAGGTGTCAGAGGTACGAGCTCTTCCGAATCATCATAGATGTATGTTAAAGGACGGTTGTTTAATGTGGATTCAACATCACACACAGGACGGTCAGTAACTCCTCGAAATTCACCGACGATCTCCCTAGAATTCGCACGAGAAGAGTCTTGGTGGAACGAACTAAGCGCTCCCCACCATCCCCCCACCACGCAGCCCAGCGTAGGGGGGTGAATTTCCATTTTATTGGAAAACACTCGTTTTCTCTGTGATTTTTCTCCAATCCAGGCATCTCAGAGCATTGTCTGCTCCGGTAAAATTGGTTCCGTTATCTGAATACATTGTCGCAGGACGGCCTCGTCTGGCAATGAACCGTCTCAGAGCCTGTAGAAACGTTTCGGTACTCAGAGAGGTGACAGGCTCCAGGTGAATTGCCCGGTATACGGCGCAGGTGAACAAGACGATCCAAGCTTTACTCTTTGGTCTCAGAAGTAAAGGTCCACAAAGATCGACTCCAGTTGTTTCAAAGACTGCCGAATCTCTTATTCTGTCAAGGGGTAACTGGATCGGAGGGGTAGATAAAGCCTTAGCGGTAAATCTCCTACATACTACACATCGACTTACGCAAGATCTTATATTACGTTTCGACGAAATGATCCAGTATCGCTCTCTTAACTTAGCAGCTAATATCTGCACTCCCGCATGACAGTTCTTTTCATGATACTCTCTTATGAGGCATTCAGTTAAATAATGCTTGGACGGAAGCAACAGGGGATAAAGGAAGCAGAATTCATCATCACGTTCAATGATTTTAGTTTTAACTCTGAGGACTCCGTCGTTGTCTCTCACTACCAATAATCCATGGACGGAATCTCCTTTCTCTTGAAAGTGCTTCCTTTGCTCTAAACTCCACAAAAATGTTTCGGCGTTTAGTTTTTTCTTCTACTGTTAAGGTATCCGAAGAATACGAGGGCTTCTTTAGGAGTTTATTAGTAAAGCGTAGAACCCAGCAGAATACTCGAACTATTTTAGAAAAACTCGAAAAACGTTTGTACCACTCAGAATCTTCTAATTTTA